TACACGTAGTAGATAATGTAGATTCCTACTACGAGTCCTTACACAAATAATTAACACGGATATCCGAACAAATATATATATTTAATATTACACTTTTAGTACAAATAATATCACAACAAATATTACACTTTCAGTACAAATATTATCACAACACTCGACTAGCGAGAAACTTATACTCACGAGCAGGCGCAGGAGGAGAAGTAGTAGTATCACTTTCTTATCTTGATTTTTAACTCTTCGCTTTTCCTCTTCGCAAGCTGGCTTTTATAGCCACTACTTGCGAAGAGGGGGAAAATCTTTTCCCGCCTTTTTCCGGGCTTTTCTTTTTGCCCGGAAAAAGGTGTCGCTGCCTGCTTTATTGGAAACACACCTTTCGACGGAAAGTTCCTGCGGAAGTACGTGGCGCTGTCTGGTGTTTCGCGGAGGTAGCGGTCGCTACATGTCTATAGGCGATACTACCATCTATGCACTTTTCGATTCCAATTGGAACTAAAAGGACAAAAAGGAAAACTCCGATAGATGGCACAACGTTCCTCGTCCCGCCAGATGATAACTCCAGACGGATCGAATAGATGGCAGTAGTACCCTGTCTGATGGTATGAATAATTTACTCCTTTAAATAAATATATTACAAAATTTAACAAAAAACTACAACAATAACTATTTATTTTAATTTATGCGTAACAAAATCTTCATGAGAACCGCTTGCTTTGGTTGAATACTGAACTGAGAATACAATATATTTTCCTCTATTTTATCTTCTTTTTTCTTCATTTGTAATCAACGTCGTCGATGTTAAACTCGTTTTAAAAATGCGCACGCCGTATCACAATGGTAGACAAAAGGAACGTGATAATGTGCTTCAAGAACAGAGACATAGATTGATTTCACAGTTTTGCCGCAACGTGGCGCTAGGCGTTTCAGAGCCCGTGAGTCGACGAAGTTTTTATTTTTGATGTTAATGGATGTGTTTTATGTTTAATGGAAAATTAATTTGCAAACTTTTATCTCTGTCCTTCTGGTTACGCCCTAAGAAAATATGTAAAAAAATTAAAAATTTGCAAATTTTGTTGACACATTCGAAGCATTTGTTCGAGTATAATGATATATAATATTTAGCAAGTTGCGTATTATATTATGTTCTGAAAAAATATTTTGATATTTTTTTACAAACTGCCATGAAATACTAATTTCTTTTTTAAGATTCTGCAATTATTGCTGTTTCGTAATTGATTTCTACAGAAAACCAAAATAACAATATTCCTAGTTTTAAGTTTAAAAATGAACAATTGCGTATGTTCATGAATTGTTTACGTTCATGGAGCCACAATGCTTTAATAGCTGGAAAATATTAAGAATACGTGTATGGATTCACCGTTTCCATCAACGGCATCCGGTAATAGACCGGATGAAGAACTAATGCAGCAGATATAGAACTCTGTTGTTTGTTTGCGATGAGTTACAACTACCCTGTTCTGTATCTTGTTTGTCTATTTCACAAGAAAATTTCGTTTCAACTCAAATCGTTGCAACGCCGTTTCACGTGACGCAAAAATGGCAGTTTTTATCTTTCGTTCAGTCAGAATAAACACACTGAATAATCATTCACGTTCATTCAATTTTTGTCCTTTGACTCAATATTTTGTAAAGTAGCGTCAATCATGTTGCATGTGCGCCACGTTTATCATTAGACGTAGGTGGTAGTAATTTTGTGTACGAGATACGTAATTTGAGGACAGTGTGAGTGACGTGATGGTTGCTCACAGTAGCAGACAAAAATGTTTGTTTCGATATAGAGCTCCGTACAAGTTTAATAGCTGCGCGGACTCCAAACGAGCAACATGCATCGAATGATTGCTATAATTCTCGCCCTATTTTGCTTGAACTTCTCGCCAACCTGTCGAGCCGTCGACATCAGTGATTGTGGTAAGTGTGATTGATTTCATTGTTTTTACTTATATTCGATCGATGAATATTTTTCCACGATAATATGCTTACTCGGTGTTGCTGTGAGAAAAAAGAACGCAAAAATCACGAACAATACATACTTGTGTTTTTTCAAACCTCAAAGTCATTTATCTTGACAATGCTCTGTATATAATTGACTTTCTTGTGCTATATCAGTGAAAGGAAAACTGGCGGTAAATATGACAGTGTAAAATATTAGAAATTACTATGTGTATTTCTTAATTACTTGCAATGTTATAATATATATCAAGATAATAATAGATTGAAAATCTTAAAATAACGAAACATCACTTATCTTTTTTAACGTTGAATCATACATTATCGATAAACAAATACATACGTGTACAATCACGATTTCTTTGTTTCGAACGAGATTTCTTTATTTTGCCCATTCTTTCACGAGGACAGTTCAAATTAATCTAGAAATCACGTACTTGGATATCTTAGACATTTTGTCGTTTAAATTTCACAATTTCTCACAGTCATATGTTTCATTTTTAACTGCGTTAAGGACGATTTGATACAGTTGCAAATTTAAGTCACTGATCATTCAAACTTCATTTTTGTTATAATGCAATCAATAATCGCTAAAAATACAGAGTTATTTTGTTTTGAAAAAAAGTACTTTGCCGAATAGGATGCCACTTAATAATCGGTAAGTAGCTTACAATTGATGTAATAATATACGATCGTAAAAATGGCGGAAATTCTTGTCCGAGAAATTCAAAGTCACGAGGTTACAGCGACTCCTCTATAATTGTGAAAATCTGTTTACATAAAGAACGTACATACATACTTATATACGTCCCATTGATCATATGAACATCCAATTATGACTAATCATAAAACAAAGATTATCAACGTGTTTTTGTATACGTGCATAAATATAAATATATGCAACAATTTTTCTATCGACTTGATATACGTATGATTTTTGCGTATCGAAACAATATAAGAATAATCTACCACGATGTCGCGTCCTTCATTTATATTACAATTTTCTTCATGCAGGCTCGAAAGTTGGCAAACTTACGTCTATAACACTGGACTGTGATATGACCAAAACTGTATGCGAGTTAATACCAGATACAAATGCAACAATTAAGATCGATTTTACAGTCGGTTAGTACGTTCTTAAGAACTATTTGCTCCTTCGTTTGCTTTTCGAGGTGAAATGGTTAAAAAAATTAAACATACTCTTACAGATAAAGATGTTTCGAAAGTTATTGCAGTCGTCCATGGTATTGTGATGGACATTCCAATACCTTTTCCATTACCAAACCCAGACGCTTGTCAAACTGCTGATTCTGGCATTCAATGTCCCTTGAAAAAGGGAGACACGTTGCACTATAAAAATACATTGGTAGTGCTAAAATCCTATCCTAAGGTACTATGGAGTGACAGTTTATTTATTAAGCTCCATCTCACGCTGCAATACAAACAAGTTATTAATCAGTTATTTAAATCGTTAAATTGCAGGTGAGTGTTACCGTAAAATGGCAACTCAAGGATGAAAATAATGAAGACATTATTTGCGTGTTAATTCCGGCACGAATTAAATAGATGGTATTAAACTACGATCTATCATAATTCTATTTTTTAGACAACTATACATATATTACAAAATTTATACGATAAGATTAATAAATTGAATTCAGCACTTTTTGCAATTAGAATTATCTTAATATACAAAATATACAAGAGTTTGTACACAGATTTTTTTTTTTTTTTTTTTTTTTTTTTAAAATTAGTACATTAGGTGAGAAATAAAAATATATCGTATCGTAGCAATAAATAATAAGTGTATTTTTTTTTAAATATATGAACATGCTATAAATTTTAATTACTGTAAAATTAAGAGTAGTGTTTTATGATATAATATAAAAGTGGTTCAAACTCCATTAATTTGTAAGTATTGCTATAAATTAGTACATGGTATAGTTTAAATTTAAGAAAAACTTTAAAATTTTTAAATATTTTGTTTGCCTAAATAAATAATTGTTTTCACTTATATCTAGATAATCGTGCTGCGTTAAATTTTAAATTCCTACATATTAAAATTAAATAATATAACTTTTAATTTTATTAGATATCTCTGCACGTGTATTCTTCAGAACGCGACAATGTAAAAAAACATCATCTTGTCGCAAGTTTATTTCCTTTATCTAATTTAGAGTAAGTCTTTTGGTACCTTTAGCATTTACTAAAAAAATATCAGCTGTCCATTCCGTCGCATTTATCCTCTATCCTCTCAGTATCTATTTGGTGGATAGTTCTTTTTGTTCTTTCCCTCGATAAATTTTGTTGTCCATTTTTTAACGTTTTTTGAGCCTGGTATATTGGTTCGTATTCCCTCAACTGTGCGATGAAACCTTCGTTAGGATTTATACAAAACCTTCTTTGTTGTACAAGTGCATATGCACGTCTGGAAAGATCGTATTTGTTTAAAAATTTTTAAAATAAAGAACGAGAACAGAGAGAGAAATACGAATTTACGTTTGAGAAAGCCCATATGTTTCCATAACGTATGCTAAAACTAATGCTGCGGATCTTGATATACCAGCGTTACCATGTACTAAGACTTGACCACCAGAGTTTAAACCATCATCGATAAATGCTTTTACCTTGTGAAAATGTTGAATAATATTTTCCGTAGCTGTATCAGCAATGTTCAAAACAAGATATCTGTAACATACATATCATAGAGTATTAGAAACATATTGATCACTTGTAAACTACCAAAAGTTGAATCAAGTCTCACTTACTGAAATTTATCAGGAAAATTGGGCTTTATAAAATTTGCTTCTATATCCTGTCTAACGCATATTATATGAGTGATGCCATGTTCTAATAGAGATTGCAGCTTTGATCGGCTAGCTGCGCTATATGGTCCGAGATATAATCCAGGTACCACCTCCTAACATAGAGTGACTATTAATTTAAACAAAAATATTCATTTCAAATAAATTTACATTTAGAGTTAAATACCTGCATATGCCTTCTCATCGTGTAAGTCCATTCTTTTGGTCCATCCATGGACACAGGTATTCTTGGATAATCGTCTGAACCATTTTCGCTAGTCGTTTCCTAAAAAAATACGTTTTGCCTTTCAGTCTGTTTACAGTTTATTACATTCACGACGAAGATTTCGATATACAATGTATTGAAAGAGGATCAGTTTATTAATAAATAAAAAATGCAAACTATCATACATTACTTTCAATAAAATTTATTTTCAATATAATACAAATGTCAAATGTTGAGACATGAACATACAAGAAGTTGAATAATCTTAACATCAATCATATATTTGAAAATATACACAAAAAAAAAAAAATTGTCAGTAACAAATAATATAACCTATAATTTGAAGAATGCATGTTTTGAAATCAATACTGCAACTCGTATACCTCGTCTTGATGAGCTTCATTGCTATCTAGAGACAGCATATCACGAACTTAGCACAATTAAACGTGTGAAAATTTCGAATTTAGATTAAAAAACTAAAGATATATAATTTTTCCCACGATCTCGACACTGTTTCTTGAGGCCATTTGTAACACGTTAAGTTACTACAGCGTCCTCTAGTGCACGTCACCATTTTTTTTTTTTTTTTTTTATTGCAAATTTAAAACACAAATTCATTGAAAATTACTGAAATCTACACATGAAACAAGCTACAGGTAAATAAAATAATCATTACTTTGCTATAAGCAAAATTAAAGAGATTATTATTCAATCGATAATGACTTCTAAACGCACAAAATTAGAATCTCAGATAAATATTAAATTTAATTTAAATTTTCTGCAAATATTAAATTAACTTGTTGCTTTACAATAAAATGTTTTTACAAATCCTCTTGGAAAATTCAATATTTTTAAAAATGGATGTCTTTAATTTACTAATTATTTATCTTTACATATTATAATTTAATCAATTACTATATGGTTGAACGAATAAATAAAATAGCAGGAACAACGAGAGCAAGCTTCAGAATTCAGAATCTTACACGTCTTGAAGGGCATTCGAAGGGTTATCCTTTAATTTCGTATCGAGATACGTATTGAGATAAGAGTTTGGGATCGAAATCAGATCGAAATCGCTGAAGAAACAGCACAATTACGGTTATCGTTAGCCGAATTGCGTAGCAGAGAGATTTCCCGTTCGACAAAGAAAAGGGAAACGGTATGCTTTGGGCTGCGAACGCGAGCCATGCAATGCAATGCAATGCAATTTAGCTACGAACTGTTTGATACAAGATTTTACGAGGCACCGATTCCCGATTGCGGTAACCTGCGCGTTCATTTTCTTCCGGGATGTAATACAATTTTCTATAACTATCGCCACGCTTTCGCGATGAAAGTCTATGCATGCAGCGGCATCAGCTCGCAATTCTGTGTGCGCGTGCTTGGATACGCGTTTTACCGGAACACTTGATAGATTCGCGGCGGTGGCCGTGCTTCCGTGGAAAATATCTTTTTAACTGGGGCAACTATTACGTTAACGAAGTGCGCAAATTTTGATCAGCAGATGTTCGGCCTTTCGTGGCTGACTTACCATTATGTTTCGTATTTCGTAACGCGTTAATCTCAAATCACGATTGACGTAACGAACGAGGTAATCTTTAAGTACAGTCATATTTTAATTTAACGTCTTGATTTGACAGCGTTGGACGGGAGTGTTGGACGTTCAACGTGGCCATTGTCTCCTCATAAGATATAGGTACATGTGCATACGTTGCCGACTCATTCTACTTTAGCGTCTTAAAATTTAAAATCAACAGACAAGGAAGTCTTTAAAAGGCAGCTGTCACAGTGAAACACGCTTGATTGTAGATTTTTATCAAAATGTTTGACAAACTGAACAAATTTGCAGTAGTTTCAATAGTTTCAGTAGTTTGGGGCGTTGGAATAACAAAATGAAATAATGCAATACAAATTTCTTATTCCCTTATGTACTTTCAGATAATAAATCATAGAATGAACTTCAGACCCCGATCTGCTTAAAAAATGGTATCATTCTACGAATATGACTACCGTCTCATACATACATTTGACTGTACATTTCAAATAAACAATCGACGTACTTTATCCTTTTGGTTTCGCTTTTCAGCCAAATTCAAATTTTCCTTCGTTGTCAAACTGTGACATATTTGCACGTACACTTATATGTACGCGGAAACAAATGTCCCGATGCTTATCGCAAAAAACTTTAAAACGTTCCCTTACATACGGTATCACGCTACGCTAAACAAGGGTTGTTAGACGTTTGTTGGTTTCGGTGACACGGTTATTGCCACCATGACTCGTATAATTAAATAATTAAGCAGGCAAGTGCCGACGGCGTAATCCTGTTGCATAGAAGTTTACTTTCTAAGCTGGCTGGCGTTTCCAGCGCTCGCGGATATGGGAATCCGTGTTGTCCTGAGACCCTGAGGGCATCAGCAACGAGATTGTTGCAATCGCCTAGCAATGGCTGGCGAATCTGGAGCACTAGTCACACGTGGCACACGTTGGGGGAAACTGGGAGAACCAGAGGGAACTATCCATCACCGTGTGTAACTAATTTGATTTACCGATCTCTTAGGTGTCATCTGTGTTCCTTATATCCTTTTGAGACTAAACTTTGGGTTACTTGGAAGGAGACATACCAAAAAAGAACTTCAAGGTCTCTTTTCCTCACAGAAAAGACAATTTTTTCATAGAAGACGTAGCACCGATTTTCCATTTTTCTTTTTCTCGCGTAACACTCGCGCTTCGTTGGCTGTCGATTCATTTGAACCAACGTGTCTCCTGCCTCGAGACTCTGCTCTCCCTGTAATTGAAATTAGAAATAGCGTCTTGCTCGTTCCTCGCCTGCAATTCCGTTCAGTCGTCCAAACAGTCCAATAATTATATTATTTTTCACGTCAACGGAGCTTGGCACTCTTCCATTTGCTTAATTCCTTCAATTCGAGGCTATTACAACTCTATACGCGCCTCGAGTGCTCCGTCGTTTCTCTCGTCTATTCTAGGAAAAACAAGTCTTATTATTTCGAGAACCAATCCGGCAGGTCTAAATAGTCAGGTCACCCGGTACGTTTCCCCTCTGGCAATGTTCACTTCGCGAACGTCAAGAAACGCGATCACCGATCACCAGCAAAAAAATCACATTCTGCCGTTCGTCGACCGAGAATGATCGAGATCCACGAGGACAAATTCAGCAATCTACCGAGAAGAAAAATGCGCCGAGCGAATGTATCAGATACACGATCAGCCTAACCATCTATTCCAACTATTTAACTCGTCATGCTTTCATCACGCTTGCGATGATTTGTCGCGCTCTGTTCTTCCTGCGCTGCCGAAGACACAAATTGACAGAGTCGAAAGTCATTTTCACTTTTTAACAGGTGCAGCAAATTGCCAATATATTCAATATATCGACGCTCTTTCTAGCGCGAGAAACTCTTCGTCACTTTCTTGTTACGCGTCACAAAAACAGAACGTAAAGATGGACGATGGATCAATAGGTGGACGTCAAACGCATTTACGTAAATAGATAAATACGTTATCTCGTGTAAATCAATTTTTAATAATAACAAAGACGCAACGAAGCAAAGATACGATTGAACTTATTAAACAAATTACCCTGGATTTCAATTCACCGTTATCGCTCGATTTCATCAGTGTTCTCTAATTGTTGCGAAGAAGTTTGGAAAGCATTCACTCTTTGGCAAGAACTTGCGAACAGATTGAAATTTCACGTGCTCGGAGAAGGAGAGGCTACCACGAATTTCTATCGCACCACCGATTCGCGCGATTCAAGTATGACTCATCTTTGAGGTAATTGCCTCGCCGAGAACGCAAAATTTCAAAAAAAAAGAGACGAGTTTCGATAGAGATACTTTTCCTCTGCCTTTCAAGCTGTCAAACAGTTGTCAATTCGTTTGCATCGTTTAAAAAATATACGTTCGTGATTAACATTCTGCTGTCAATTGTTGTACATCAATTATACGTTTAAATCCAAATTGATTATCAACGGTGAACTTATCGTACGACAGAGGCGAAATAGAAATACTAGCAACGTAGACGGTGTAACTAGCTACATTTGCTTCTTGCTTCAGTCTTATGCAGCGCTGTTCAGATTTCGTGCCGAATAGTATCACAGCGTTTCGATTATTGCGCTATATCATCGTCATTGAAGCTTACTCTCTTAATTACTTTCTTTTCGATTAAACCTGATCCATAAATAGGCAACCTGGTGCATAAATAGGCAGTTTTTAGTCCATCTGTGGCAACACGCATATTTTTAAAACGAGTTTTTAACGGCGGCGAGGTCGATTAAAAATGAAGAAAGAAGAAAATAAAATGGCTAGAAATATATATCGTAATTTCAGTTATTAAGAATCGAGCAAAGCGAGCGGCCGTCATAAAGATCCCGTTATAAATTGAAATCGATAGTTGTTCATAGTTTCTTGTTAAATCTCGCAATATATTTATTTAAAAGAGTAAAAACCTATATCTACTTTTATTTACAGATACTTGTATACAGTTATATCAAGGCCCTGGCACTAAAATCGATCAACAATCGTCGGATTTAGCTCGGCAAGTTTATGTCAGCTATATGGCAAATGTCTGGCGCCTTTCGATTCTTCTCACTCATAATTTGTACCGTTCAAGAGATTTTATTTGAACCGAGTGGATTGCTTAATTCGTCGAGGGCACGGAGAGCCTCCCCGACGATGACTCAAAGTTCCCTCGTGTACCCGTGACCGGTAACCGGGGCGTGTGCGGCGTGGCGCGCTTTGTAGAATCGGTAATCACCACGTTGGATCGTTTCTCGCCATTCGACTACAACGCTGTGGAAAATTCGAGACGTGTTTCGAATTTCTGTCCGCTCCACAGAGCGTGAATTTCTTCGAGCACGCGTTTCTTTTCTCGCCAGTGGTCGTGACGTTGGGACGAATTTCATCAAGGAGTGACTGAAATTCTCACGATTGCAAGTCTTACTCGTGTTATTGGTATTTTATGCATTTTATTCGATCTGAGAATTTCTAAAAGACATGGACTGAGTAGGTATAGATGAAATTCCCAACGAAACGTAACTGCATAGACGACGCGGCTCATTAGCAAGCGGTTGAACTCGATCCGTTCGATCTACACCAACTATACTGTACTACAGTCTCTGCAAACCAGAAGAAGAAGTGGTTATTTAATCTCTCTCTAAAGTAGATCAGAAAACCAGGCATAACGACAGCTTCGATTCGTCGAGGGAATTTATACTCGCATAGAAGAAATTGAAATTGGCGAATTCCCAATGTTTTTCTCACGAAATGTGCTACGCTCATGAAAGAAAGAAAGGATACCATAAGAAAAGGAAGGATTTTCCTTCAAAGTTTCCTTTCAAGCTGCAATGCCGTTCAAGTAAAACTGAGTTTCGTTCGAACGATCAATGTAAAACAACAGCATTGAACTATCAATATTGAACTTTTCAAATTTTGCGAGCGCATGTCAATCTTCGCACAAGATTATCTCGACGCAGCGGCGTACGATCAGAAACAACGAGCGTAACGCAGAGAAATTGCGTAAAGGTCCGAATGGCGACTCGAGTGTGTAAGGGGGTCGAGCGTTCCCGCGTGATTGCCAATCGGCCCCGAAAAAGAATATTTTCCAGAGACGGTTTAACCTCCCAGAGAACGGGAACTTGGACAGATTCGCAGGAAAAGCCGCGCGATTCCCTCGCGTTGCGCGGAAACAAAGCCGCGTCCTGAGAATCGTTTGCCTAATTCGCAAATAAAAACGCGATATTTGAAACGCGCGCTGTCCTAACGCGAAACGAAAGCGTTGGAACACGCGTTGACTTAATTTTTTAGCTTCTTCGTTGCTGCTATTCGTACCCGTTTCGAAACAGACCCGTAGCCTTTCGTATTTTGATTAGGCTCGATTAGTTTTCTGATCAGTTTGTCCGATTCTGTGGGTTGGTCTGTCGATAATGAGGCAGAGAGCCTGAGAAAGTCCGACTAACGCATAGTTACCCTTATTATATACCAGAAAAAGATTGAGAAACTTTATTATCAGTGATAATTGCTCGACGCGGACCGATACATTCCAGTTGACTTTTAACAACTGATCCTATTACCCATGACAGGTAACAACCGAATCCGTTCACTTTGACGATTAGATACTCGTATACTCTTTTTCCTTTTTTTCATTTTTATTTTTTTTCCTCTTTTCTTCTCTCTCTCTCTCTCTCTCTCTCTCTCTCTTCTCTTTTTTTATTAGTCGTCGTCCAATTAAACTCGTTAATTCGTGTTGGAATTCCACTGGGAATCTTCACGAGTCTACGGGTCAAAACCAATGACCAATGGTTTTCCAACTTGGCGAAAGATTGACCAATTGTCCGCTACATTCCCATGTAAAGGGTGGCCAGTTTTCTCGATAAGGAAATCGAGCAGGCCAAAGGAAACCGTGCCAAGGTTTGGAAACTTGGCGAATCCAAGTTGCAACCTTCGTACCTGAAGATCACGTAGCAGAACGTTCTCGAGATTTAGGGAAGACATTCTCTTCAGGGAAATATTACAAACGTCGTCTTTCGTTTCTTTCGAGAACAAGCCAAATCGTTGTCTTGGCAGTCGAACGAATATCGCAGTTTTCTTTTCTTTTTTTTTTTTTTTTTTTTTTNTTTTTTTTCTTTTATGCAAACAAAGTTTCGCAAATTACATACGACTCACTTTTCGGCCTGGAAAAAGTCGAAAGATTCGACGCGAAAGCAACTCGATGAATAATTTCTTTTTCTCGGAATAATATAAAATAAAAATAGCGCATAACCAAGAGGTGTAGATGCATTTTACGACTTTACTTGGACTTGAGCGGGGTTCGTTACGTTGCAGAAACTCGAGCGTTTCGCAGATCGCTTACGAAATTGGCGAGTCGTAAAATCCAACCTACGCGACGCAACGAATAATTAGGATAAGTAGAGTGGAAGAGATGAAGACTGAAAGATAGAATTTCACTTTGTCCCTCTCGATACCTTAGTTACCTTTTTCCAGCTACAATTGCGCAACATTTCATTCCGCGAATTAAAAACGTACACGAGAAGTAGCAAGTAACAAAAACAGCAATGATTCTTCTCTCTTTTTTTTTTTTTCCAATTACATCGATATTCGATCGTAACACGCGATCGAGAATAAATTTACGTTTGAAAAAATATTGGAAACTTTTGCTTCGTTTCGCGTATCGGAGGTTGCACCATCGCGCCTTACGTTATGTTTTTTGCACGCGTCGGTACCGGCGTTATAGAATCACGGTTAGCGGCTAATCGTTGTGCTCGTTCAATTTCACCACACGGAACAATTCGATTTTCTTCCTCGTGGAAGCCGAATTTGATTCACCATGCTGCGTGTTAGAAAAACACGCAACGCGCTTTAACTTTGCTTGATACAAAGGAGAAACGTGAAAGAAAACTGTGGAAAATCAGATAACGACCGACTGATTGAGTTCCTCGTGCAAATAATGAAAAATCTCGGCAGGCAATGGAATCCATCAGACATCGAATGATAAATTTATATGTCGTTGGATGGTAAAGAAATACGTCGAAGCGAAGTAGAAACAGATGGAAAATTTGATGAAATACTCGATGAAACTTTGTTGCAATTCGCGTTGTGTCGTAATTTCGCCGGAAATTGTGCTTAATTTTTCATTGTGCAATTCTCGCTATTGCTATCGCTGTTTCAGGATGGCTGACACGTCCTTTAATAACACGCGAGGCGATTGCAAAGAAACGATTCGAAAGACGACACCAATGATTCGATGTATGTAAATTATTCGAAGAATGCAACATCTCCTTGGTAAAAAAGAAAAAACAAATACGATACACAATCGACGATCGTAGAAGCGGAAATGGATCAAATGTAATCGCAGCGTCGGTCCACGAATTGGGTGAATCGAGTTTGAATTCTCTTCGTAAAAGTTTCTCTCCGCGAAAGTTTCGGTTTCAATTTGAGCAATTTCAGTTTTCAGGGTGTCGTCGCGGAAGTGGACGGAAGTGGAACGATCAATGGAGCACCGAATAAGGGGTCCGAAAGGGTCGATCGTGGTTAGTGAAAGGGGTCCGTGTGCAATGCAATCGTTGTACGCACGTTGTACCCCCGCCTCGTGTTAGTTCCCTGGGCCTGGGCAGGGCACCGCTATAAAAGCATACCGCGTCGCCCCTCGGATAGGTAGTGTTTTCCCGTGTACTGCACAAGAAAAATCGCCTACGATGAAGTTTGTCGTAAGTTTCTGCCAGTTGCGAATCAATTCCTTGCTCTCTCTCTCTTTTTCAATGTTTTATTTCTCCATTTTAAGCTTAAAATCCTTACCTTTCGTTCAGAAGGTTCGGCTTCGTTTGTTATTTTCTCTGATCTTTATTTATTTATTTATTTATTTATTTATTTTTTTTCGTAACCACAAACGAAACGGCGAAGATATCGAATTAATTTCTTGTAATTGCAGATTGTTCTGTTCGCCGCTATGGCCGTCGCCAGTGCCTATCCCGGATATTATCATGCGCCGGTAAGTGGGGCTAAAAGTTTCTAAAAATTCCTCGTTTCATCGTTTTCGATTATTATTTGTATAATAATCTTCCAATCATCTTTCACGTTTAATGGAAGAGAATTTTAATACTAATAGTTTTCTACAAAGTTCTCCTTAACATTTTCTAATAATAATAATAATAATAATAATAATAATAATAATAATAATAATAGCAACTTCGACCATTTACCATTGGGACGGTACTACGGTTGTTTCACTCGTGAAATTCTAACATTTCTCTTAACTGTACGACGCAACGTCCAAGTGTTACTGGACAAAACTTGGGTCGCGATCGATAGCCAACTTACTGGCAAAACGAAATCCCTCGTTCCGACTGATCTAACGCAATCTCTTCAGCATCTACTTTCACGTTTCTCTCTTCTCGTTCATTTACTTGTAATCTAATCTTCCGGAAACTCTCACACGTCCGCTGGTCAGCGTACGATGCATTTCCCTGACGCGACGACGCAGCGCCAGTCTTCTTCGCCTAACCGAGACACGTTGGACTCACTCGGTGGAAAGTAACCAACCAAAACGTCACCAAGTAACCAAGCTTTCGCGTTTCAAGTTCCGCTCAAGTACATAGATAAATTGAAACGAAAACGAAATGAAACTCCTGATTTTTGAAACGCTTAGGTGTCACATCCGTGGTCGGCGCCGGCAGCTTGGCCAGCAGCCGCACCAGTGTACGTACCAGCTGCACCTTCGTACGTTAAAGTTGCTTCTGCACCAATAGTCAAGGTAACGATAGCATTAATTTCGTATTGTATCACGTTGTTGGATGTTAACGCAAGTTAAAAGGAGAGAATCTTCTGTACATGAGTATAAACGTTTACCAGTCAGCCGGAGTTATCAGTAAGTTTCAAAGGAAATCACTCTTCAAAGTAGATCACACTCTGTTTCCTCACGGTAATTTCCGTGATAATCGGAATCAGTACCGTGTCGTTGGCAACTCCTCATTTTTCACGTCTAATGTCTCGTCTGAAGCGGTTCGCTAGTCACGTAACTCAGCTCGCCAGTCAATCAGGGCACACGATCGACTTTCGATCGTCGCATTAAATTGAATCGTTCGTTGATCAACCGGTCTATCAAACGAAGTTTCCAACGAAACTCCAGTTCAATTACTGGGAAGCAAGTGACTCGTAACCCCTTACGCAACCTGCTCTTCACAGCGAGTCGCTCCTCGAGTCCAATCAGCGTTGCTGATTTTCAAGTCGTTTCAGTTTTCAATTCGGAATCATCTTTGTTCGGACTTGGACGCTACGAGACGAAAAGATTTTTCCCGAACAAAGATCCGCCCGTAGCCACGGAAATTAAGAAATTAACGCAAAGAAACGAAAGCTACAAGTATACTTATGCGAGCTCGATACGAGTCGGCTTTTTAACACCCGTTAAAAATTCGCTGCAGGTACACGCTCCGGAAGTGCATCAAGTGCTCCAGGTCCCTCAGCAACCCTCGATTCCGCCCCCACACCCTCAGCCCTTGAACATTAAGATTCCACACGTGTCAGCCGTGAAGATCCCGTACCACGGACCCAAGATCGTACATCCACACCTGATCGGCGTCGAGTCCCACTACGAGGAGCCCCAGGTCAAAGTGGTGAAGGTTCCCATCTCGCATCATCCCTGGGATTAATGTTCCGCGCCGGCACCAACTCGAACTCGCTGGTCCAGGGTGATCCATCCTGGACGAGCCGTCCTGAGGTGCATCCGGAGTAGCGACGCTTTGCAAACAACGATAACCACGGCCAACATCGAAATTCTCCCGGCGGGAAAGAAGCTCGAGACGATATACATTCGAAGCACATTCACTGTGACCCCCCACGTCGACGTTGGTAGTCGACGACCGTACAACGCCGAACAGCGCCTCAGCGCCCGAGTTCTTCGTTCTACGGCTACCTCTCGCTGGCTCTGCCAACGCCGATCGACGTTCCACGTTCCCTCGTTCGGAACCGGAAGTCGGAAGCCGAGTCGGAAGGTTAATCAGTATTAATTGTCCAACGTACGATCGAACGTGGAATCACGGACGAAGAACGTCGAGACACGTTGCTCTCGTTCGACACACGCCCTCAGGATCATCGGCGAGCGTTTTGGACCACCCGAGGACCTCAGACCAGGCAGCACTCTATCTTTGAAAAGAAAAAGTTATTTCTCCGTTTCCGTTTCTTCTCTCGCAGAGTAACCAAGCACGCGATTACCTGCGAACCATCAAGTACACGATTACACAGGCGCAGACCACTCCCTTCCAGACTCACTTCCCGTTAACTCTACCTTCTTACATTTTACTCTTGCGTAAAATTTCTCCACACCGTTGAAATTACATTGTGCGGCATGTGATATTGAAGAGGACATCGGACAGGCCTTCACTGTATATTTTCTTCTCTTCTTTCCGTCTACCACCCACCCCTTACCCTCACCGTACTCTTGCAACAACAACACTTTTATTTATTTTCTAATAAAAGTTAATTTCTATGTCTTGTGATAAAAAAAAAAAAAA